CTTCCTCCAGTGAAAAAGTGTTCTGGTCTGAATCAGGAGAGAAATCTGCACAGATCAAGCAGCGTTTAAACAGCTCTAAACTAATATGTGGCTGGATTTTGATGTGAGAGACAACAGGAGATGCACTTTTTCACTGGAGGAAGCGTTATTATGGATTATGGACTCTATGTATTTTAGTTAAAAGCGTCTTAATGCTGGATTTGTTTCAGCTTTTGTCTTCTCCAGATGTTAACTGATGGACTGGAGTGCTGTGGATTACTTGTGGATTATTGTGATGTTTTTATCAGCTGTTTGGACTCTCATTCTGACGGCACCCATTCACTGCAGAGCATCCATTGCTGAGACACTGATGCAGTGCTACATTTCTACAAATCTGATGAAGAAACTAACTTGGATGGTCTGAGGGTGAGAACATTTTCAGCACATTTTCATTTTTGGGTGAACCATTCCTTTAAGGTATTATTAACCATTTCATGGTTTGCTTTATTTGAAATAAATGTTTTGTTAGACATCATGCATTAAGAAGGGCAATAAAAATGTGAAATAATATTAAAAAGCAAAATCATATAAAAGTAAAATGTAATAAAAACAATATAAAGCTCCTGCATTGTTTTTATGACTTGAATGCATGATATGTTCTAGCTCGGTACTTAAAGGGGTCATATGATGCAATTTCATTTTTTCCTTTCTCTTTGGAGTGTTACAAGCTCTTGGTGCATAAAGAAGATCTGTAAAGTTTCGAGTTTAGTATTTTCATTTTCAACTCAAGATCTATTCTATACCATTTGAAACGTATGTGCATCTTTCTTTTTTATATTTTGCATCTAATGCAACGACATTTTTAAGAGTCATTTTAAGTGTCCAAACACTTTTAGAGCAGATGCATGACATTTAACGATATTAACCTGTTTTATTTAATCACACTGAAGCATGTTGTCTTTTTTAGCAAAGAAAAAGACATGTTTTTGCCAAACAGTTCTGATGCCACCACATGTCACTGCCATCAATATCACCTCTTCAGAATCACTTTTAATTCATCAAATTACAGAAATGTACGCAAAATGTTCCACCGACAACGATACAAAGTATCAGCACCGAAACATCAACAAACGCTAAAGTGTAGCGGATGAGGATGAAACATTTCCTGTCACTTCCGACGCCAAACTAACACACCTCTGACCAGCTCAGGGGCGTCCAAACAAACTTTATACGAGTTAATATGTTTGTTTTGCCTTCTTGTCGTGGATTAAATCGTAATTTCGCTGCTTCGCGATCGTTCATACAAACTAAAAGGCTCGTGTCGCACCGCGCCTGTCCCGCTGCTCAGCTCCGCGAGTCTCCAGAGTTATTATTCCGCACGTAAACCTGTCAGAGTGAGTTTGCTGAGGTTTCTGACCGGTTAATGTAGCCGTCTCCGTCGCCGTCGCACGTCTGGAAGAGCCGGCGGACTCGCTCCTCCTCCGCGGTGCTGCCCGAGTCGCTGCTGCCGCCGCTGCCGCTCTCTTCCTCCGCCATCATGAACACACTGCGCCGCTGTCAGCACACGCTGCTTTAGTTTACAATACTTCACATTAAACCGCATGCTCTTTTTAATTACTTTACATATTGTAAAACATAACAGTTTAACAATATTATATTATCCATTCTAAAACTTAAAAACAAAACAAAACAAAGCGACTTACAGAAATAAGTAAAAAAGGTTTCTTTTTATTGTAAATAAATGCATATTTATTTTATTTTGAATTTATTAAAATCCGAGTATTTTTTTTTCTCGGAATAATATTTAATTTTAAATAAATATATATTTGTTTTAATAGAAAGACATTTATATTTATTTGTTTATTTATTTTTAAATAAATATATATATATATATTTTTGTAATATTATATTCAAATGTATTAATATATAAAATATATGAATATGTATTTTTCATTTTAAATGCAGTTATATGTACTTTGGTTTTGAATATTATTTATTAGAGCTGTCAAATCGATTAATCGCATCCAAAATAAGTTTGTTTAAATAATAAAATGTGTGTACTGTGTATATGTATATATAAATACACAAACATACATGTATATATTTAATAAATATATGTAATATATATCTATAATATAAATCCTAAATATGAATATATATATTAGTGCTGTCAAACGATTAATCGCGATTAATCGCATCCAAAATAAAAGTTTTTGTTTTTGTAATATATGTGTGTACTGTGTATATTTATTATGTATATATAAATACACACACATACAGTATATATTTTGAAAATATTTACATGTATATATAATTATATTTTATATTATATATAAACGTATTTAATATATAAACATAACATGTTTTTCTTAAATATATACATGCATGTGTTTGTATTTATATATATACACACACACATATATCATGTATATTACACTTCATTAAATGGTGAAGAGACTTGTTGGCATTACAGTGTCTTTGTCATTTACTCTTTCATGTCTGAAGAAAGACCAAACTGCAAATGTAGAATGAGTGAGCTGTCAGATATAGATGCACTTGGACAATGTTGGCACAAGAAAAGTGAGAAAGAGAAGAGATGAAAACGAAACGAAGCCACACAAGAAAAGACAGAACACACAAACACAGAAAAGCTGAAGCGTCTGAAACGAATATTTCTCGGACAGTATTCTTCTAGATGGAGAAAGTGTCCTCGTTCTTTGACCTCGCATGTGTTTCCAGCATGACTAAAGGCTTTTATTCCACTCAGAGAAATCACTGCTGATCATCGGTCAATATTTAATCGTTTGCGCAACTCTTTTCTGAGAGAATAAAGGCCAAATCACTGTTTCACAGAAAACACAAGCAATACGAGCTCATTCACTTTCTGTCTATCAGTGCGATTTCAGTAACTAATACTTAATACTATTATTTTTACTAAAATTGATTAACATTAATTAAATTATAGCTTTAATATTAATCAAATTATAGCTTTTATTTTTACATTTTCAGGTTTAGTAATTTTGTTTTGTGCATTTGTCTTTTTAATTAGTTTGTTCTTTTCAAATTGCTGAATTTTATTTTTATTTCAGTATATATTCCGTTAGTAATTTTTATGCTTCAATTTTAATTTATTTGAGTTAGTTTCCAAGGCAACATTACTTTTTTTCCCATCTAATATTTGTTTTATTTCAGCTTTATTTTTTTTAATTATTTTAATAGTTTTAGTTAAGCAATAGTAACCCTGATAAACCTGAACTGTGTTTAAATACAGCTGCATTTTCTGATGGAAAATTGCATAACATAGTAAGAAAGAAAGAATATTTTTATTAAAAAAAAAAAAAAATATATATATAAATAGTACTTCTTAACACCACTTCAATAACAGGAGTGAGAGGACATTCTAGAAAAAGCATGATTATTGTCATAGCTCACTCAGCTGTAAAGATGTGAGCTTTATTTCACAGTGGTTTGTCAGGCTACACCACTGCATATCTGAAAAAAAAAGTCTTGTTACTTGAAAACCTTAGTGTTGTTTTAGTATAACTGAGGTACTATTGTTTTTTATTAATATTTTTAAATCTGATTTTATATTTTATGCTTATATATATATATATATATATAAATAAAGATAATTACTAGTTATCCAGAGCTTGAATTGTCAATTTTCTTTTGTTGTTCAGTCTATATTCATGCAATTTTTTTGTATATTAATGAAGAAAAAACAAGGTTTTATTTTAGTATTGAGATATTGTTCTAAATATATTTAAAAAAAAATCTATATTTCTCTCTCTCTATATATATATACTGTATATCGTTTTGTTTTTAGTTTAGTTTTTATTTAATTTTAAAGTGCTAGTAATTTAGTTTTTTTATTTTTATTAGTTACACACACACACATATATATATACATTTTTATTTCAGTTTTAGTTATTTTAGTGCATCAAGTTAAAATTAAAAGGAGAAATGTTGCTTTGGCAACTAGCTGAAATAAAATGTTTTTTTCATGCTTTTATTTCTATTAAGGTTTATTTCAATTAACAAACAGTTTTGTATAGTTTTAGTTCTAACCCTAGTGCAGTTGACCTCAAAACTATCGACACGAGTCAAACCCTTACAATTCCCGTTCTGATTTCATGAAGTCTTTAACAGCAGTGGTGTGTTTTGTAAGCGAATGCATCATGCAGATGTCCCTGTCGTTGTAGTTCGCTGAACTGAGATGGGATTGTGGACTGGAGAAAGATAAGACCTCTGTGGGACGGACTGAGGCGCGAGTTAAAGATGCAGAAATGCAGAGAGAATATCAAACACCTGAGAAACGCAGAGATCAGCAAAGAAACGGCACATGCGTTTATTACTCGCACGTCCGTCTGAAAATGCATTGTGAAGCAGAAAAATGCCTCTCAAAGTGGTACAAAAGCAGTTCAGCAGACACTTCTTTATGATAAAATATGGGATAATACAAAAACATTGAGTATAACACGAAATCTTCGGTCCTAAGGTCTTTATTTGATGGTTTTGCTGATGTTGCTGTATCCGGCTCCCACACACGTCATCAGGACCTTCTCTCCTCCTTTCCGCTCATCTTCTCCAGGTTTCTGTTGCTCGATCTTGAACATGATCTGAAAGAAGTCTCGGATGTGTCTCAGGAACTCGACCCTGCATGGAAAACAGTGAGAGTTAGATGATGGGTTATAACAAAGTAAATCACAAAATATAAAGTAAAGAAATAAATAAAGGAATAATTTGAAAATAAAATGTAAATAAATTATTAAATCAAATAAATAATAAAAAATAAAAAATGAAATATATTAAAAATAAAAGTAATTTGAAACAATTAAACAAAAAGTGAAAGTATTTTATTTGTGTACCTGCATGTCATGTGACCATTAACCAACATTAGAGAACCGTTAAGGTTGTTAAATTATAGAAATATTAAATTCTGTTAGGACCAAGGGGTTTGGCTGTCAACAATGTTTTGGAATCCCTGATTTATTAATAATAATAAATAATAATAATAAGTTTAATTTATATAGCGCCTTTCCCAAGCTCAAGGACACTGCACAATGACAAAAGCAAATACATTCCTACATACACGGACAAGACATTTTCCAAGTCCAGAACATGTGGTTGCAGTTGCATACCACAGTAATAATACAGTATCAAAAAAAAAAAAAATTATTGTTAGTTTAAAATGAACAATCCTTATGATCTAAAGAAAACAGCATTATTCAAGACCACATTAAAAACAGCATTAATATAATGTAAAATTCTAATAAAAATACCAAAAAGGGGGGTTAATATAGTTAACTAAAATAAATTTTTTTTTTTAAAAAATAAAATAAATGTTAACTGAAAAAAAAAAAAAATAAAATAAAAATATATTTCAGTTAGTTGCCAAGGAAGCATTTCTCATTTAGTTTAACTTGATGTACTAAAATAACTAAAGCTAAAAAAAAAAAAAAACACTAAAAAGACAAAAAAAAATAAAAATGCCAAAAAAAATAAAATGACTAAAACTAAAAAAAATTAAAATTAAATATAAAAATTTATTCAAACTATTAATAAATACTATAATAGTATCTCAACGCTACTAAAAACACACTGATCAAAAGGCAAAATTGAGAAGATTTTTTAGGCATTTTTCAGCATCAATCTCCTGCACACATATGAAGCTGGAGTCCACTGGAGGTGAGACGCGTGTTGGCACCGTCAATCTTCAGTTATCATAGTACTGTACTTGACAGGCACACAGCACCGGTACCATGATAACTGAAGATGGACAATTCATGACGGCAGAGAGAAAACTGCTGGATCCGGACACAAAACGTAAAGCAGAACATGACAGATGGAATATTAGCACTGAGAAAAAGACAGTTCTGGATGCCACAATTGTATATGCATTAAAAAAAAGGAAAAGCATCCGCGTCAAATGGCACCAAGCTTATGGGATTAGATCTCTGCCACAATTTCATTTTTGTTGTGATTGGTTGTCAAGGCAGCCAATCAGAATTTAGCAGCCTCGTCTCTGATTGGCTGGAATTATGGCATATTGTAACGCTGGGTTGTGTTGAGCAAGCACGCCGTTGGCATTTAGAGAGCACTGAGGGCGGGCCTCAAGGGAGCAAGCTAGTGAAATGTTGCACGCGCAAAAGAGAAGGTCTGCACACATTCAAAAGCTTATTTTAAAAGCAAAATTTATTTTAGTGCGCTCGAAATACTTTCTTCTTTGCGAGATGAACATTTTCTCCACAAAACTCAGATCGCGTAGCGTGCAAAATGTACTTTTGTGCGCTCAAAATATGATCTTTCGCACGCAGAATTGTGGCAGATATCTAACCCCATACAAGCTAACAGTAAAAGTAAAGATGGAAGTCTTTCTGCATCACATGGAAAAGTCGCAAGCAGTTTGAAATGACATTTGATATTTTTTGCAATTTATGTTTACTTGAATACGTGATAGTTATGTCAGATCCCTGAAAAACACGTCAGGGTTGTGTGTGTATGTGAGTGCTCACGTGTAGGGTGAGAGGGGTCCTAGCAGTGTTTTAGACACATCTTGTTGACCTAACATCATGTACAAGAGAGCCAGACTCTGATTGGTCGAATCCACACAGCCGCCCTGGAAGAGAGAAAAAAATAAAAATAAAGGTCAGAATCAATGGGGTCAAAGCAGGGTTATTAAAGTTACATGAAACTAAGAAAAAAACTAAAAAAACTTTCTTAAAACTAAATGAACAATAACTGAAAATTATTTTAATTTAGCTAGCTGCCAAGGATATTGTTTTCATTTAGTTTAACTTGATGTACTAAAATAACATACTAAACTCAAACAAAAATTCATAAAAAAAAAACTTGATGTACTAAAATAAAAGCTGAAACTAAAATTAATAAATTGATGCATTAAAATAAAAAGCTATAAAAAAAACTTGATATACTACAATAAAAACTAGCAAAATTAACAAAAACCAACTAAAATACAAAAAAAAAACTTAAATGAAATAAAAATGAATACTAAACAAATTTTTTTTTTTTAACTATACACTAAAAACTAATAAGAAAGACAAAAACAACTACAATTTGAATGAAAATTGACATGACTAAAATACAAAAAAAAAAACTTAAATGAAATAAAAATGAATACTAAACAAAATTTTTTTTTTTTAACTATACACTAAAAACTAATAAGAAAGACAAAAACAACTACAATTTGAATGAAAATTGACAATATAAAAACGAATTATGACATTAATGAAAGCTATAATAGTATCTCAACGAACCCAAAGTAACACTGGCTCAAGGTTTGGCTGGTAAAAAGTGTTTCTCCATCGACAGTCGTTCACAAGCAGTCGTCAAAACGTCAAGCTTTAGTGGCTCTGAACATGAAGCTCACACACTGCTAACTATCTGAACACACGCTCATCCTCGTGTAAACCACACACTGCCGCTTTAAATGGAGAACGTGCGGGATATTCAGGAAAATGTTCCTCAAACACGGATCTGCATCTCAGTCTGAGCCTGAAGAGCTCCTCTGAGTCTGATGAATTCATCACTACATTAACCATCGATCCTGTGCACTGTAAACCACACATGCAAATGACATAATTCAAGTTTGATCCACATGCAAACACTTTAAAATCCACTTTGACTCTCACAAAGAACCACAGCACAACTTTACCATGATGCTTTCATATGTAGCCCTCCATGGCACTGAATGATTAGAATATTCATAAGCATGATGGCATTAACAATGTACTTTCAAGTATAACATAAAAAAACATTATAGTATCTTTATGTGAAGCGTTTAGCAACATGACTAAAAAAACTGAAGAGTAAAACATTTGCATTTATAATGAAAAATGTTTGAAAATAATGACTGTTTTCAAACAGGTTTCAAACACTCCACCTGTCTGCCATTGGTTAAACAAACCAGTAGTCCCGCCCCCAACATCACAGCATTGGCTGTAACATCCTGTCAGCCCGTTCAAAAACCAAAACAAAACTCCTATTCATAAAATATATACATTTCAATAATTTTAATAATAACAAAATTATAAAAAAAAAATTATGTTGGCCTGTTCAAAAAAAAAAAAAAAAAAAAAAAAAAAAAAAAACAAATTAAATAAAAAAAAAAAAAAAAAAAAAAAAAAAAAAAAAAAAAAAAAAAAAAAAAAAAAAAAAAAAAAAAAAAAAAAAAAAAAAAAAAAAAAGACCAAATTATATATATAAAAATAAAATACATTTAAACGAAATTATTAACATTAACAATGTACTTTCAAGTATAACATAAAAAAACATTATAGTATCTTTATGTGAAGCGTTTAGCAACATGACTAAAAAAACTGAAGAGTAAAACATTTGCATTTATAATGAAAAATGTTTGAAAATAATGACTGTTTTCAAACAGGTTTCAAACACTCCACCTGTCTGCCATTGGTTAAACAAACCAGTAGTCCCGCCCCCAACATCACAGCATTGGCTGTAACATCCTGTCAGCCCGTTCAAAAACCAAAACAAAACTCCTATTCATAAAATATATACATTTCAATAATTTTAATAATAACAAAATTATAAAAAAAAAATTATGTTGGCCTGTTCAAAAAAAAAAAAAAAAAAAAAAAAAGACCAAATTATATATATAAAAATAAAATACATTTAAATGAAATTATTAATAGGTAACACTTTATTTTAAGGTGTCCTTGTCACACGTTACATGTACTTACTATTATAATAACACTTAATTATGCAAAATACATGCAAGTAACCCTAAACCAAACCCTAACCATAAAGTACATGTAGTTAATATTACTTAGTACTTAAATATATAATTACACTGTAACAAGAACACCTTAAAATAAAGTGTAACCAAATAATAATATAAAAATAATAAATGTTAATAACTAAAAGTATTAATACACTGCTACTAAGTAATGCACTTCATGTGCAAAATTAAAGAAATAAGTGAAACAAGTCTAGCAGAAACAATTGCAACAATAAATCAGGTCTTTTAGTTCATGAATATGATAAAATAGTGCTTTTATACATAGTCCTACACAGTACTGAATGATTAGCATACTCACATACATTATAGCTTAAAAATGATCTACATAAGAACACGATTTTATCGATAATATCTTTATCGTTCATTACAGTAGCACAAAACAGAAAGGTCTGAGCCATCGACATTCATGAACAAACTCAGAACATCAACCTGGACACACAATTAACTAAAATACATAACTGTACGTCCTCATTTAAAGAGACAGTGACGTGTTTAGGAACATTACATTTGCATTAAGAATGAGAAACTACAAAGATTTTTAAAAAGTCAATCCTCACCGAGAAATGAGACTCCAATAAGAGACATCACGAAAGGGATTGATTTGATGGTCTAATGCTGTACTTTTTGTTTCATGAATCATGATGGATGAGAAACGCTCGGAAACTTTCCCATAATGCCTGGTGGAAAAGTCCCAAACATTTAGCTCCATGAGCGTTAATGAAGGTGAGACTCGCTCTCCACGTGATGCTCCTGTCATATTTACCAATTAACATTACATTATATTGTAGTAAGCAACATTTTGAAAGTTTCTGAACTTGATTTGCTTTTTCCAAATGAAGAACCAATTTTTGCCGTGCAGTTTTCTGGTAAAATACATTGATTAGATTGTTAAAGTCAATATGGAATGTTTACAAAAACAACAACAACACACTGAAATTATCTACAAAATAAAGTAAAAAAAAAAGTCTGTATGTTTAGCAGTAACACCTGATTTAATTGAAGAAAAATTGTGAATTATACTGATAAAATATTAATGTATTCATGTAACACAAAAAGTAGAGAAAGTGCAAGCAACACCAAGGTCATGGGTTCAATTTCCAGGAAATGCATGATCTGATTAAAAAAACATTTGCAGTGTAAGTCACTTTGGATAAAGGTGTCTGCCAAATGCATGAATGTTAATGTTAATGTAATTATGAAGCCGCACACTGAACGTCTTTGTCAAAGCTGCATAACAACCGGCCGCATGTTTTCGAAACATGAGATCTCCAGAAACATCCATCTGTGCTCAGAATCAGGAATAAGCGTTTCAGAAGAAAAATTTATATTTATTAATGCTTCATCAGCAGCAGAGCCAAAAGAAAGCAACATATAATAAAATATATTAAACTAACAAAAAACTAAGACATTTAAAATGAATACAAAACTAAATTGATTTATTTTTTTCTTTCTTTCTTTCTTTATTTTTTATAAACGTAGCAGCTAAACATATCAAAGTAAAAACATTCCCTAAAAAAACAAGAAATTATATGCTGCATTAAGAAAATTAAGCCTAATTTAGGGTCATTAGGAATATAAAATAACTGAAACTGAAATAAAAATAAATAAAAACTATATAGACATATTAAAAATAAATAAAATTAAAAACATTAATTAAAAACGATCAAAGTATCGCAATGAACGATATATTAAGCATTTTTTTCATAATGAATATCATACTGTCTGATCTAAATGTTTTAGCTCAGCCTAAATTAGACTAAATACTATTACGTTTTACCAAAACGAAATGTAATATATAAATAATATTAACAGTACAAATTACATAAAATATATTTTATTTTTGCATTGAGACTTTTCGGGTAAAATGTGTTTCATTATCGTGAAAATAATGTGAATACTAAAGTTAGCCTTCATTTTTTCATGCAAAATATTATTCTGATTTTGCAGTGAAATATGAGAGTTGTAAACAAAAATGAAAATAAAATGATATAAAATAGCCATAAAAATAAATAAAAAATAAAAATATACAAAATAAAATAGTAATAATATAAAAATAAAAACAATGAAAAATACTAATTACTTGCTACTTAGTTAAGCATTTCATGTGCAAAATCAAAGAAATAAACATAAAAATAATAAAATAAAATGATATAAAATTACGTTTTACCATGGTATAAAAAAACAAAATGTAATATATAAATAATATTAGAATTACAAATTACATAAAATATATTTTATTTTTGCATTGAGACTTTTCGTGTAAAATGTGTTTCATTATCGTGAAAATAATGTGAATACTAAAGTTAGCCTTCATTTTTTCCATGCAAAATATTATTCTGATTTTGCAGTGAAATATGAGAGTTCTTGATGAGACTCATGTTTGTGTCCGCTGACAGCAGTCGATACTCTCGTACCCGCTGACACAAACAAGGACACGAGCGTGTCAGTGACCGTACAGCTCTGCCAAAACACACTCAATACAAACAAGAGTATGCGTCATTCAGAAAACTGCTGAAAATAACCAAACAACATCTGGGAGTGCTGGGTGATCAATGACTGGCTGCTGAAAAAAAGCCACTTAACCATAACAGAACTCATGAAGTCTGATCCTCAGCAATTAATTTTGACAAGTAAAGATAAAAATAAAAGTGCAAAATTATGCTATTGTGTTATTAACATGTTTGGGTATCAAGAAAAGGTTTCATTTTTGAACAAAAACACTCCCATAACTCCTGCACTGCCAAGACAAATTCAGAGTAAATGAAAGATTGTTCATATGACAACATGCTAAAAACAACCATGTCTTTTTGTAATAAAAAGCCTTTTAAAGCTGAAGTGTGTTGTTCCTGCACCAACAAAATATCGCGAAAATAATGACTAATTTCAAACAGGTTTTTAACACTGCACCTGTCTGCCATTGGTTGAATAACAAGTAACCCCACCCCCAACATCAAAACATTAGCTGCTAGCATTCATATATAGCCTATATTCTAATGAATAAATAAATTATAAAATCAAATATAAAAATAAAAAACGTGCTTTTATTAATACCTACAAGTATTAATAACCTGCCACTCATTTATGCATTTCATGATGTGCAGAAATCAAAGAAATACACAAAATTAATTTAAAAAATAAAGCTATATAAAATCGTAAAAAATAAAAAGAACTTGCAAGTATTAATAACTAGACGTACTAATAACTTGCTACTTAGTTATGCATTTCATGTGCAAAATCGAAGTAATAACAAATCAAATCACAAATAAAAAAATATAGAAAAATAAAAAGGACTTGCTTGTGTTAATAAATAAATGTACTAATAACAAACTACTTAGTTATGCATTTCATGTGCAAAATCAAAGAAATAAAAATTAAAATAAAATTATATAATAGTAGTAAAAATAAAAATATACAAAATAAAATAGTAATAATATAAAAATAAAAACAATTAAAAATACTAATTACTTGCTACTTAAGCATTTCATGTTCAAAACCAAAGAAATAAGCAAAACAAACCTAGCAGTGACATAATAAACAAGGTTTTCTTAATGAATATAATATATTTCAATAATTTTCCCTTAATAATAGCAAAATATTGAATGTTTTAAAAATGTATTCACAGAAGTGCATTAAAAACAAAACATGCTGAACATGCAGACAGTATTTAAACATCTTTTTTCATTTAAAAACAAGCCAAAAAAAAAGAGAGCATAAACTCACATCATGTTTTCCAGTTTAGTCAACCGCAGCACAATCAGAACTAGTCTGCATTCAGGAGCTGTTTACTACAGAGACTGACCACCAGCTACTGATTAACCTCAACACAAACACACACACACACACACACACACAAATGCATGCATGCACGCAGTGGCTGTTGTGTGCGATCAGCCAGCGCCTTCAAATATTAACAGCCCTAAAAAGACGCCCTATAACGACCCTGCCACCCAGAACTCAGTATGAAAAACACAGAATCAGCCCATTTTAACTCACGTCACATGCGTCACAGCGAGAGAGACCGGTGGTGCTTGTGTTCCCCGTGTGCACACAATGAAGGGAGCGTATGCTGAGTGTTTATCTGGTGTCTGTACAGTGAGTTACAGTGGATTACGGTTAGACGGCTGTAATCCCCTTTAGCAGAGCGGATCTAATCGCTGCGGCCCACCGGCTCTCTCACTCGTTCTCAATCACAAACTTTCTCATACAACAACCTCACACCTCTCATAATGAGATGTGACAGACAAGCATCTATTTCCCAGCATGCCTCTGCACCAGGACAGTGTAAACAAGCCAAACCGCGCTTCGATTAAGACTCTATCCAAATGAAAATGTGAGCAGACAAACACTTTTCAGAGTAATGATCAGACCTCAGAACTTTTTTAAAGTTTAAAACACCCCCTTCATCTGTCATTGGTCAAACAAACAGGTAGCCCCGCCCCCAAATCAACCCATTGGTTGAATTAATGATGTCATGTCTCTGTCTGCCATTGAAACAAAAACTCTATTGACACCGCTTCAGTTTAATTAAAATTAATCAACATTAAAATATCTGGTAACACTTTACAAAAAAGACTGTAATTTGTTGTTCTTTTATTTACTTTTTTAATTTCAGTAGATACGTTATTTTCATAAAACAGAGTATTTTTTTTATTTTTAAATACAAATATATTTATTTAATGTGTGAGTGTGTGTGTTTGAGGTGTGTGTGTTTGAAAGGTGTGTGAATGTGTGTGTGTGTTCGTGTTTGTTTGAAAGGTGTGTGAATGGATGTGTGTGTGTGTGTGTGTTTGAGTGTGTTTGTTTGAGGTGTGTGTGTGTTTATTTGATGTGCGTGTGTGCTTGAGGTGTGTGTGCGTTTCAAAGGTGTGTGAATGTGTGTGTGTGTGTGTGTGGGGGGTGTGTGAATGCATGTGTGTGTGTGTGAGTGGTTGTTTGTGTGTTTGAGGTGTGTGTGTGTGTTTGAGGTGTGTGTGTGAGTGTTTGTTTGTTTGTTTGTTTGTGTGTGTGTGTTTGTTTGAAAGGAATTAAAATTAATCAACATTAAAATATCTGGTAACACTTTACAAAAAAGACTGTAATTTGTTGTTCTTTTATTTACTTTTTTAATTTCAGTAGATACGTTATTTTCATAAAACAGAGTATTTTTTTTATTTTTAAATACAAATATATTTATTTAATGTGTGAGTGTGTGTGTTTGAGGTGTGTGTGTTTGAAAGGTGTGTGAATGTGTGTGTGTGTTCGTGTTTGTTTGAAAGGTGTGTGAATGGATGTGTGTGTGTGTGTGTGTTTGAGTGTGTTTGTTTGAGGTGTGTGTGTGTTTATTTGATGTGCGTGTGTGCTTGAGGTGTGTGTGTGCGTTTCAAAGGTGTGTGAATGTGTGTGTGTGTGTTTGTTTTGTGTGTTTGAAAGGTGTGAATGTGTGTGTTTGAAGGGTGGGTGAATGCATGTGTGTGTGTGTGTTTATTTGATGTGGGTGTGTGTGTTTGAAAGGTGTGTGAATGCATGTGTGTGTGTGTGTATGTGTTTGTGTTTGCTTGAAAGGTGTGTGAATGCATGTGTGTGTGTGTGAGTGGTTGTTTGTGTGTTTGAGGTGTGTGTGTGTGTTTGAGGTGTGTGTGTGAGTGTTTGTTTGAAAGGTGTGTGAATGCATGTGTGTGTGTGTTTGTTTGAGTGTGTTTGTTTGTGTGTGTGTGTTTGTTTGAAAGGTGTGTGAATGCATGTTGTGTGTGTGTTTGTTTGAGTGTGTGTGTGTGTGTGTTTGAGGTGTGTGCGTGCGCGTGTGTGTGTGTTTGTGTTTGTTTGAAAGGTGTAAACAAGAAGGCAAGGCAAGGAAACACAGAGACTCGGAACAGGGTACAGGCTAAACAATAATCAGCAAGCAATTGAAAGGTGTGTGAATGCATGTGTGTGTTTGAGGTGTGTGTGTGTGTGTTTGAAAGGTGTGTGAATGTGTGTGTGTGTTTGTTTGAAAGGTGTGTGAATGCATGTGTGTGTTTGAGGTGTGTGTGTGTGTGTTTGAAAGGTGTGTGAATGTGTGTGTGTTTGTTTGTGAATGCATGTGTGTGTGTGTTTGTTTGAGGTGTGTGTGTGTTTGTGTGTTTATTTGATGTGTGTGTGTGCTTGAGGTGTGTGTGTGCGTTTCAAAGGTGTGTGAATGCATGTGTGTGTGTGAGAGTGTTTGTTTGTGTGTTTGAGGTGTGTGTGTGTGTGTGTGTGTGTGTGTGAGAGAGTGTTTGTTTGTGTGTGTGTGTGTCTGTGTGAGTGTTTGTGTGTTTGAGGTGTGTGTGAGAGTGTTTGTGTGTTTGAGGTGTGTGTGTGTGTGTGTTTGTTTGAGTGTGTGTGTGTGTGTGTGTGTGTGTGCTTGTGTTTGTTTGAAAGGTGTGTGAATGTGTGTGTGTATGTTTGAGTGTGCGTTTGTTTGAAAGGTATGTGAATGTGTGTGTGTGTTTGTTTGAGTGTGTGTGGTCCTGCCTAGTATACCTTGACATTTTTTTGCATTTTTGGTCCCCATGGGGAACCAAAAACTTATTTTGTAATTTTTTTTTTGTGTTCTCTCTTCTGTAATATTTTAAGTGAGTTTTTTTATGTGTGGGATGCCTCATAAAACAACCTTGTATGTTATGCATACTTGGCCAATAAATGTTGATTGATTGAATGAAAACAGCTTTTAAATAATACAAAATATATTTTTTGAGAATCTAAAAATGCCTGTAGTTTTGAGTGAGGGGTAGTGTAGAGAATAGGAAAATACAGACTGGACAATATGAAAACAATTACGCCTATAGAGAGTCCCCATAAATTATGGAAACCAAATGTGTGTGTGTTTGGTTCTGCTCACCCTATAGACCTCCTCCAGCAGTAGTTTGGCACAGTTTCTGCCCAAGTCCTCCGGCAGCACCGGATCTCCCTGACCCTGCGGTGTGGACACGACCTCAGCGCCCAGAAACGTGCCGTTCACCGTCTCAGCCACCAGCGTCAGACCGAACCCTGGAGACCTGCACACAACACACAGTGTATTAGTCACTTCACCATAACCTCTTACTCGCTGCTTACTAGCACGAGATTAGTGTGGCGTCCGAGCCATTACTGGGGTGTTTGCTCGGTCATTGAAATTGCTTCACAACTAAACCCCACTCTAATGCCAATGTTCAATAAAAATCCCTTAATTATTGACAATCAGTTCAGCTTTAAGTCATCAGCCTGCAGTAACTCACCTCCCAGAGCTGGCACCCTTCATGTGGTCGGTGTAGATGTAAATATCCGGGATGAATTTGTTCAGGATGCTCCTGGCCGAGTCCACGATCCTGTTGGCCATCTGAGGAGAAACTCGCACCGAGAACCTGACGCACGACGGTCAAAGATCAACACTAAACACCAGTGAAGAGAGACATCAACGAAAAACACTCGAAGGCTAGATGACCCTGCTTTGATTTGACTGGTTAATAGATAACTTCAAAAAGTGTTCCTCAAAAACTGGAGCCATATTCACAAAACATCTTACAACAAATAGTAGCTGCTACTTTTCCGAAAATGATGGGAGTAAGAGTACTTAAATACTAAGAGTATTTCAGGAATAAAGCCACTGAATAAAGGAAAAAAAGGTAAAAGGCTTTTTTTTCTCAGAATTGCAAGATATAAAGTACAATTGCAAGTTATAAAGTCACAACTGTGTGATTTAAACTCGCAATTGTAAGAAAAATCAGAATTGCAAGTTGTAAACTTGCAATTGCGAGAAAAAAGTCAAAAAATGTCAATTGTGAGATAAAAAGTTGCCATTACTTTTTTTATATTCAGTGGCGAATATGGGTTTCCAAAAAAAACAGGTCCTAAATCTGTGAAAAGTCAGCCTACATTTTAAACTCTATTTGAAAATGGCAACATTTTTATTTTAAACTCTTGATTTGAATATGGCAACATGATACTCCTTCTACAATATTTATCTGATTAAATGAGAGACCCCTCCCCTATCAGCCAATCATAGTTAGTAAGCTTGATGACATCATCCATAGTAATGAGCTTAACTCCGCCCTTTCTCTTACATTAGGATTTCTCCCCATTCCTTAGTAAAAGTTGCTCTTAGCAGCTTTCTGAAGAGGTTTAAAGTGGTTTTACTGCTTTTTAGGAGAACTCTTAGCGGTAAGATTAAATGTTTTGTGAATATGGGCCCTGATTTCGAAACTAGTGAAATTTCACTTGTATTGTGGCTCTGTGTCAGCCTCTATGGATAGAATGATCAGAATTCCTGGTGACCGGTTCTATTATCAATGGAAGGATACGCTGTTCCTCGGATCCTCTTGATTTTTCCCGGTTCCGTGAGATGAACGGGTTTCATGGAACGGCGCACAGGACAAGTGAAGAGCACCTCACCTCCTCCTGCAGGAGCCATGCCTCGCTTCAGCACCTGTATAAACACCATCAACACAACGCTAGCACACAACCCAACCGCATTTATGCACGTGGCAGATGCGTTTATCCAAAGCAACTTGAACTGCATTGCTTCATCAGTTCATGCATTCACTGGGAAACTAAGGTGGCTGCCAAATTAATGGACTTGTTTTAAAAAGTTTTTTTTTTTTTTTTGTCTGACACACTACTGACAGACCTTTATTTCCAGACCGTCTCCATCGATCCCAAACTTCTTCATCAAAGGAATAGCAGTGACCTTCAGAAGATCCACCTAGAGAACATGGGCATTTTATACAGATAATTAGACATCAAAGCAGAAGAATCAAATGTGATCACTATAGTATTACCACACACACAACTCAATACAAAGAATAAATGTCGACTGATACTGGATTGTGATGAAAACTGAAAGTAAAAAAATAAGGAAAATCTGGCCAAAAGTAAAAAAAACTAAAAAACAAAAACAAAACAGTCATATGAACAGTTATACAATTACACTCTTTATTAAAAGATTAACAATTAAAATAAAAAATGTAAAATAAAATAACATGTAATTTAATTAAAATTAAAATTCAAGTAATTCAGTATACAGTATGTCCATGTGCTAACATATAAACTTTATGCCATGTTTAGTTTCCAGATGTATATATTTCACCTTGCTCTTATGTTAGGGTTATGTTAGTCTTATGTTAACCCTAACCCTTTTTTTTTTTGCACAAAACTACTTCATAGTGCTTATTTTGTAAGAACAAAGATTGTAAAATTATAAAACAGAATGTTATGATGCAAGTGATCAGATGAGTGAAAACCCATGCAGCAATTTCACATTAACAAGGCTAATAACTAGGGATGTAACGATTCACTCAACTCACGATTCGACTCACGATTTTGATTTCACGATTCGGTTCATGATTTTTTTTTAACAAAATGAGATTTAAAGGAACACTCCACTATTTTTGAAAATAGGCTCATTTTCCAACTCCCCTAGAGTTAAACAGTTGAGTTTTACCGTTTTCTAATCCATTCAGCCGATCTTCGGGTCTGGCGGTAGCACTTTTAGCTGTAGCTTAGCATAGATCATTGAATCTGATTAGA